TTTTTTTTTTTTATATGGGGGTGCACACCCGGGTGTTGGATCCGGGTGTGCACCAATCAGGGTCCTTTTTTTTTTCATAACAAGAAACATTGAAGCAAAAAGAATAAGACTTAGGGTTCTCTCATACATGCTATGATATGTTTGTGTAGAAAGATTTCTAAAGATTATGCCTAAGATGTCAATTATATATAAACACAAGATCGAGTTCACAGCAACCATGAATAATCTCATACGCAGGGATAGAAACATCACCTAAAATCCCAAACTTGTTGACAGCCATTAATTGCCATCTTCTTTAGCGTCATGATCATTGTTTTCTTCATTTCCCTTTTTGGAATTACGAGCACTCTGTAACCATCATAATAATATGTTGAAAGGGGAAAGCAAAAACTGTAGTAATAAGGCTTATAACTGAAAGTGCTTCCTTGATTAGCATAGCAAATTAAAAGAAAAAATGTTCATCAAATTACCATTACCTCGTACTCTAATCCATTAATCATGTCTAGATATGTTTTGAACATCATTAGGAGAAGTGGATGCTATTTAAATAAAAAAAAAAACACAATTTAGGAGATCCTTTAATTAATTTGACCATGTTCTTAACTAATGATTAAGGAAAAGGTTGAAGAAAAATCTTATAAGGTGGAAAAAAAAAATGAGGAAGTCTTTGGATTCATCAATAAATGCACATACCTTTTCCTTGAACAACTGTTGGATAGTGCTGTTAAGATTACCCTCCCAACTTCCTTCATCTTTTGCTCCTTCATATTCATCTTCATATTCATCTTCATCTTCATTAAAAACATCATCTATTGTTTTCTTCATATCTTCATCTATATCTTTATCCATATATTCATATATATCTCCTGTCAATTTCACTTTATAAAGTCTTGGTGTGCTTAGTTCTCCCTTAGAGAAAATCTGCATATGTGGACACTCTGTAATAATTACCTCTCTCAAAGCTGGGAATTCAAAGTTGCAATCCCCCGAGCAGAAGCTTTCTAGTCTTGGTAGACCTTTAAGTTGTAAACACTCCAATTTGGTGAAAGCAATGCTATTGTTCACAGCATCACCCAAACATACGACAATTTCTTCTATCATCTCACAATTGGCTACTTTCATTCTTCTGAGTTGGCCCAAGCTTTTTGCTGTTGAGTATCTCACTAAATTGATGAATCCATGACACTCGGATACTACTAGAGTCTGCAAATTGTTAAAATATACAGTGGATGGAGCTAAATTCTTCAATTTGCTACATTCCTGCACTTTTAGAGTTTCTAGGTTATTGAGAATGTCTACTTCAAGTCGGGATTCTTCCTTCCAAAGATGTGTTAGCTCATGAAGTTTGGACAATCTTAATTTCCTTAATGGAGTGCGTCCACACACAGGTTTTTCCTCAGCAGTAACTTCTTCACATTGGAATATTTCATCGAAGAAAGCATCCTTCACGAGAAGCTTTTTGAGATTGGGCAGGGAGTGGAAGAAGAAAGGTAGAAGAAAAGCCGATTGCTTAGGAAAGCCAAGGAGGTGCAGAACCTTTAGTTTACCAAAATACTCCTCTGGATGATGTCCACACTGTATCTTTATATTGTCATTCCATTTCACAACCAGCCGTTCTAGACTAGGAAATGTAGCCTGAGAAATTGACACGAGTAAAGAAGACAATTCAAACTTTAAATAAATCTATTATTCTTTGATAAATTTGTCATTTCTAAGTTACACAATAAATCTTGATTTTGAAAAAGAACAATTCTTTTACTCTTATTTCTAATCATAAAAATTGCTTTCCATATTTTTTTGCCATTGAAAAATCTCTTCATCTCACATAAACGCATCTATTTTTCCTTTCTATTTTATTGTTTTGTTTTTGCAATTCTTCTATTTTTCTATCACTTCAATTTCAAGAAATAATAAATCATTATTTAGGCAATTGCAATGTAAAAATCTTTAATTATAGTCATATTGATTAACTTCCAGAATATTTTTGTAGCAAATTTTCTTAATTTCAAACTATTATTCACTTAAACTAGACGAAAGACCCAAGTATTAAAATAGAAAAGAAAACATTTTCAAAAAATATAATTTTTTTTTTTTTTTATGATGGCCAGAAGTTAAATTTACATAGAGCTTAGTCTCCATATAGGATTAGGATAACAAAATTTTAGCTAGCATCCTTAAGATTTAAGTTGGATTGCAGATAATAAAAGAGCAAGACATTTTTTAAATCAAGGTGATCAATCTATGTGTGTAGGAATTCAAAACAATGTTGAGATATTTTTTAACAAGTTTTGGTAATTTTATTTCTTTGTCTTCAAAATAAAATTAAATTAGTACACAAGTAAAATAAGTAGAAAATTTTCTTTATTTTGTCTTCATATATTACTTTTCGTGTTTTCTTGCCTTCATTTATTATAAGAACAAAAATGAAGAGCATGTATTTGTATCAGATAGATGCATTTTTTCCTTTTGGACTTGATTGTGCATACCTTGCTAATCCAAAACATGGGATGCTGAGATTCCCTTTCAAGTTGGCTGTCTCCATGTGTAATCTCAATGCTTGAAAATTTTGAAGCAACTATTTGCGCTGCATGACATTCGACCACAACTAAACTTTCCAATGATGGCCATTCCATGATGTGCATCTGAGGGAAGAAACTCTTGAATTTTGGTAAGAGTCTAAGCATCAAAACTGTCACTTGAGGAAATACAGGCTTGGTGGCATCTGTTTCCACCAAAGTCAATTGCGTGGCTAGCATTGTTTGTGATCCGGTACCAAAATTGTCTCTTTCAGAGTCAGAAATTTTTCCTAGAGAATCACAATTGGAGCAAAATGTTGCAAGTTGGGGTAGGTCATTAAGGGTCAAGGTCTCTAGTTTGGGGAACACCGTCTGGCAAATCTTTTCTTCTTCTCCTGTCTCTTCTATCAATATTACCACTTCCATCATCTCACATCCACTAATCTTGAGTTCTTTAAGTTGCGCAAAACTTTTAACCATTGAGAATGTAAACAGATACTGTAAATTTGAACAGTTGACCATTTTCAATTTTGTTAACTTTTGAGCAAATAAAGATGTTGATGAAAGTTGACTATTCCAAATTTGCTTTGTATTGATTGAAGACAGAGTCAACATCTCTAATTTAGGAATCTCAACCTACAAAAAAGTTCCAATTTCATTGAAAGTTCTATTTTTGAATCAAAGAAAAGCTGAAATGACATGGAAGAATAAATTTGAATTTCATACGATATAAATTTTAATGTAGAAAAATTTAATGTAAAAAAATTTAGTTGAAAAGGAATGACAGTACATAAGCTTTCATACTCACTAAGGCTTTTGACCTTTATGCATCAAATACATTTATGTCCATAGTTATAGAAGTGCTGTAGAAGAGTGAAAATTATCCTTTGCGAAAAGAAGTATAGTGAAGTCTTATCCTTGTCAAAGTCAAATTTGTGACGAAATACTTCAAAAAAAAAAAAAAAAAGAGAAAAAATGAAAACTCACCTCGTCACAGAAAAAGGCCCCATTGAAGATGTCAGGTTCTTCCTTGACATGCACTTCCTCACTTCTTCCATCAGCTATCTCTTTCTCTTTGTCACTTGAAAATTTGGAAGCGAATCCAACCCTCATTAGACACTTCTTTACAATAATTTTCTTCAACATTGGAAACTTGAGGGTATTACTTCCCAGATAGTAACTCGACAACTTCGAACAGGACTCTAGCAAAATGGAGTTTAGTTGTGGGAATATGAAGCCAGTTTCAACTACCTCCTCGCCTCCTGTAGCCATGATCACGTGTTCCATTGCTGCACAGTATTTTACCTTCAACCCCTTGAGTTGCACAAGGCTCAATACTAGGGACAGAGTTAGAAGGTAGCGCAACCTGCTACAATTACTAACTTCTAGATATTGCACCTTTTTGAGAGATAATAATAATTCATTAGGATTTCTTTTCCAAATTTCAATTTCAAAAAAATTGGAGAGTTTCAAATTTCCAAACTGATCAAGGCATCCAACCTGCAAAACCCAATAAATTAATTGCTTGATATAACACAGAACTCAATAACAATAACAATGATATCAATAAAAGAAAGAAAAAACATTAGTAACTCCATTCAACTTATCACAAAAATCAAACTGGATAAATATATATACAAAAGTATTTTTTAAGTTTTTGAAATTATAGTTCTTCCCTATTCCTCACTACACTAATGTCTCTATGATTATTAAATTAAGGATTATAGAAAATGAATGATCTACCCTTGGTTCTTTATTATGTATATTGGATTCAGAAACTAAGCAAAAGTGAAGCCGCCCTTGATTGACCTGTAAGCTCTTCCTCTAATCCTCTTCTTGAAAGTGCTTTTGTTCTATGCCTTTGAGAAAGTCCAAACAAGAGAGAATGGCTAATCTCTTGGCCATTCAAAAGGAAGAAAGTAGACCCATACGATTTTTTATCCTTCACTCTAAACTATCCCACACGATGCCAACGAAAAAATTATTTAAAAAATTTTCTTAAATCATATTATATTCACATGTTAATTCTTCTTCTATTACGCTAAATCCAATAATATTAAGTAAAGAAGACTGAATGTATAATGATTGAGAAACACAAAGAAATCTTTTGAATTAGTGTACATACCTTTTGAGTGAATAAGTCTTGTATTGTGCTGTTAAGATCGCCTACCCAGTGTCCTTTCTCTTCATCATCTATCCATTGAACATTTTGCAATTCTTTTGTTACTGTCTTTCCCAAGGAAAAATATTTCATCAGTGGACATCTTATCACAATCACTTTTTTCAAAGATGGGAACTCAAAGTCACACTTCCCTGTGCAAAAGCTTGAAAGTTTGGGAAGACTGAGAAGTTGCAGAGACTTGAGTTGGCTGAAGACAATGCCATCCTTCACGTCATCTTCCAAGCATTTGACAATTTCTTCCACCAAGTCACAATCAGTTATACTCATTCTTTTCAGCTGTTCCAAGCTTTTAGCAGTTGAGTAACTTAATAAATTTTCAAGTCCATGACATTTCGATATTTCTAGAGTCTGCAGGTTCTCAAAAGATACAACTGATGGCACTAAATTCACCAATGTGATACACTCAAGCACCTCTAGAGTTCTCAAGTTGTAGAAAATCGATTTGAGCTCAGATTCTTCCTTCCAAAGATGCCTTAACCCATTAACTTTTGACAATTTTAATTCGCTTAACCTAGAGGGCGCATCTACAGGTCTTCCCTCACTACAAAGTCTTTCACATTGGAATATTTCATGAAAGGAAGCTTCATTCACAACCAGTTTCTCAATACTAGGTAGGGTCTGGAAGAAGAAAGGAGGAAGAGCTGAGCATTTTTGAAATTTTCGAAACTCGAGTTTAATATCTTTTAGTTTGGGAAAATAGACCCCTGGATATTGACCATGCCATATCTCCTTCATGTTGTAATTATGTCGGACTTCCAATTCTTCTAGGCAGGAGAATGAATCCTGACAAATTGAAAAATACAACGTGTTATAAATTGAATAAAAAAATACAAAATAGAAAAAGGGTATGGTAATACAGATCCTTTGTATAACGTGTTTTGTGATTAAGCTACCTAAGACAAAAGCATGCCATCTGTCCTATGTCACGAGATTTATGTAAGCTCATGAGCGTGTGTTTTTGGACCATTGTGCAGTAAGGGGGTATGTTATGACTACCTTATTTAAAGTGGCACTATGATATGTCATATTGATATGAGATACTTTCATATCTAAATGTGTTTTACACCTATTTATATTATGTCTTGACTATACTAAGACCTATCTATATGTGAGTTAATTAACCTATGCTAACTAACAAGCTGCATTTGCTCTATTCTTTGAAACATCTGTCAAATTGATTAGCCTGAGCTCTAAACAAGTAAAAAATATGAAATCCATACTTCAAGAAAAGGTAGTTATATATCACTTGTCAAAATTTAAACCCAAGCCAACATTTGCCTAATAGCTATATACATTTACAAGAACCTTCCATTAGAGGGAAGGGAAAAAATAAAATAAAATAAACTAGAACTAATCAAATTTTTTACAAATATTATAATTTGATTAGCTTCATAAAATTAAATAGGAAGATATCACATTACACTAAAGTGTGCAAATGTCAAATTATAGATGGAAACCACATTGCATTGCATTATACCAAACCCAATAAATATGTATTCAAGTTAAATAATATCAGGCGATTGAAGTTTTCATATATGAAAAATTTTAGTTCCTAGAGACTTCCATAGCAGATAAAAAAATGAGAGGAAAGTGATTTTTAGATAAAATAGAAATAAAGCAAAATTTAGAACAGATCAAAAGAGAAGAAGGTAAGCCTTGATTGATTTTATTTTGATTTAGTTTTCCTACTTTTTCCTACTTGAATTTAAGAAAAAAATTATTTGAATAAGCTACATGCAATTATTTTTTCCCATTTGGTGATCGTACCTTGCCAATCCAAAACATAGGGTCTTGGGTTTGCCTTTCAAGTTGGTTGTCTCCATCTGTTATTTCAGTGCTTGGAAATTCTGAAGCAAATGTCTTCACCTTGTCACATTGCTCCACAAGCATTCTTTTCAACAATGGCCATTTTGTGATGTGGATTTGATGGGAGAAACCCTTGAAATTGGGTAGATGACGAAGTTCCAAGTTCGTTACTTGAGGAAATACAAGCTGAGTGACTCCTCTTTCCACCAAATTTGATTGTGTGGCTGCAAGTACTTGTGATCCACTACCATTGTGTCCTTGAGCTTCATATACTTCTCCAAGAGAATTGCAATTGGAGTAAAATCTTATAAGTTGCAGAAGGTCACAGAGCTTTAAGTTGTCTAATTTGGGAAACATTGTCTGGCTTGTCTTTTCTTTTTCTCCCAATTCCTCTATTAGTATTACCACTTGCATCTCCTTACATCCCTCAATATTGAGTACTTCAAGTTGTCCAAGACTTTTAACCATTGATGATGTGAAGAGATATTTCAAATTATTACAGTACCACAGAGTCAATTTCCTCAAGTTTTGAACAAATGAGGACATTAATGTAATTTGGCTGTGCCATATTTGCTGTACACAACTGGAGTGCAGATACAAGTCATCCAAGAGAGGAATGTCAACCTGCAAATTAAGAAGGTCCGATTTCATTAAAAACCATTATTTTTTAATCAAAGAAAACAAAGCAAGAGTGATGTTGAGAAGTGGAAATTATAATCTGCGAGTAACGATAATTAAAATTGTGTTAAATGTTAAATTTGTAAAGAAAAAACTGACCGTATCAGAGAATAAAGTCCAACAAAAGATATCAGCTTCTTTCTTTCCAAGGTGTCCCTCGCTTCCTCGATAAGTTGTCTCTTTCTCTTGCTCTGTTGAAAATGTAGAAGCAAATGTAATCATGTTTCGACACCCTTCTATCCTTATTTTTATGGCCGATTGGAACTTGAGTGCATAACTTCCAGCATAGAAACTTGACAACTTGTCACAATATAGTAGCAAAATGGAGTTTAGCCGTGGGAATATCAACTCTGTGTTCACTATCTCCTCAACTCCTTTTACCATAATCACTTGTTTCAAATCTTCACAGCATGACACATCCAAGTTCTCGAGTTGCACAAGGCTTGATACCATGGAAGGGGTAAAAAGGTATTCTAAGCTGCTACAACCAAAAATTCGTAGAGATTTAAGCTTTTTGATATCTAAGATTTCTTGAGGAGTCACAGCAGAGGCAGATGTTATCCATAACTGGTTTATTTTAATCCCATTCAAATTCAGTGCCTCTAGATTTAGAAACACAACCTGCAAAATGTGCAATTTTTTGATATATAAGATAAAAAAAGGGAAGGGGGGGGGGAGAAAAAGAAAGAAAAAATATAAGTTCTACAAATTAAAAATTTCAAGAATGATTTGAATTAAGTACTATAATTGTTAAAATAAAATTTCTAGTCAACCTAAAAAAAAATATATATATATATAAATTGAGTTATGTAATAAGTCGATCAATAATATATAGTTAATATCTTCCAAAAAATTATTAAGATACTTATTTATATTAAGAGCTTATTTTTTAATTTTTATTTTGACATAAAGAGCGAACAATAGTGATTTGTAGTTGAATTTATAAGAAAGCATGTTTCTCGAAGTTAAGAGTAGTGGTTTCTACCAATGTTTTCAAAACCGGATCGGTTATTGAACCATTTTCAAGTCCGATTTTCGGTTTGACCGGTTCAACCGGTTGAACCGGTGAACCAGCCGATCCAAACAATAAAGAAGGTTTGATGAGAGGAGCAAGCTATAGGCATTGATTTTTTTATTGGCCAAAGCCCCTATTTGCACCCTACACTTAATTGTTTTCCACGGTCAACACCTTCCGAAATTTTTCCTCCCTATTCACACCCTTAACTTTTCAAAACCCGTAAAAAACCCAACATTTTAACGCGACGTCACGG